GCAGCAACTGACAAGCAGAACCAAAAAAGAAATGCCTCTCCCTACCCCTAACCCCCTAACCCCTGGGATATTGGAATGAATAGTGAGAAGTAAGACACCAGCAAAAGAAGAGAGGGAGGCAGGCAAAAAGATCCCTCCACCCACCTACACAGACACCTGCTGGGATGGGAGGTGTTTCACCAGCATTCCTTACAAAGGTTTCTAAGAACCCCACCCCCCTTCCATGCCACATAAAGCAGCAGCAAGAGGGGATGGGGGGAGGGGGGACACAACCAAAAAAATAAATCAATCCGTCTGATAATGCTAACAAAACAGGAGGATTTGGAGAGAGGGAGAGCTCTGCCCCCTCCCACCCCCCAACACCTTTTACATCCCCACCCCAGGCACCAGGCAGCCCTGGGAAGACAGCAGGGTGGAAATGCTGCCGGCCAGAAAGTCACATGGACTTCCCAAAGCACAAGCATGTGGTGCCGTGTGGGGCCATGTGGTGTGTCCCCCCATCCCACACTCCCTTCCCGACATGCATAAATCCACCTGTTTCCACTGCCTGTGAAATAATGCAGCTCCCCCCCACCAACATCCCCTTACCGCCCTCCTCAACCATCCAGGACATCCCCACCATCCTCTTACCCCCCACCCATTCACCTGGGATACCCCTATCCCCAATACCCTGGAATACTTCCCACCATCGTCTTAACCCCATCCTCAATCTCCTGTTATACTGCCCCCTACCCAACCCCTGGTATACCTCCCACCACCATCTTACCCCCTTCCCAACCCCCTAGGATAGCACTCACCATCCTCTTACCCCTTTCCAACCACCCAGAGCCTCCCCCCTCCCTTTACCCCCAAACCCCCTCCCCACTCCTTGCATGGCACATAAAAGCCCTGTGCCGCCTACCCTCCGCCCCCAAATTTACAGACTGGCTTCATTCTCAACACGGTTAATTGAACAGGGCAGAGAGCTGTATCCCAGCCATCACCAGAGCCATGGGCACAAAAGCAGCCGCCACCTCCCCGCTCCTCTTCTTTTTCCATGCAAAAGACTCAACCAGCCTCCCCCTGCCAAACCTTCCTCCTACCAGGAATGAGAGCCAGGGGAGAGGGGGAGAGAGACGTCCACCCCTCCATCTCCGCCATGAGAGTGGGGGAGGTGTTCCCCAAAGCCAAAGCAGCTGCCAAGAGATAAAATCCCCCCCCCCCCCCCCAACCCACCCACTCCTTCCTCCAAAGGAAGGACTTCCGGGGGACGAGCAGGTAAAGCTAGGATTAGCTCTTCTTGGCACAGAAGAAACCATGGAACCCCCCTACCCACTATCCCATCCACTAAGGGGATGGGGGTGGGGGGGCTGCAGCTCACCCGACTACCCAGAGAGAGGTCAGCTGGCTCCCTGCAGGCAATCTCGTCTCCTGGACGCTGTCAAAGGTGCCCGGAAAAAGACAGGGAGAAAGAGGCCAGCGATGGCAGCGTCTTCCCAGCGACACACAGGGTGGGGGCAGGGGGGGATGTTTCAGCAACACCCGCAGCCCCCAGTACACACACACACACACACACACACACACACACACACGGAACCCAGGTGTCCAGAACACATGCACACGGAACCCAGGTGTCCAGGACAGACACACACGACACACCCAGACCACCCCCTTCCCCCAGAACCCAGGCATCTGGTGCTCACACACAGCCCCACAAATCCCAAGAACCCAGGTGTTTGGGGCACTTCTCCACCCCCAACGACACACCCAGAACCCAGGTATTTGGGATACCCTATCCCCCAAACCCAGGCATCCAGAACACGCATACACACACAAACACACAAAACGCAGGCCTGCAGGACACACACATGCACGCACACACTGCCACCCCCCAGACCCAGGCGCCCAGGACACATGCACGTGCACAAACCCCCCTCCAGAACCCAGTTGCCTGGGACACACACACCCACACAGAACCCAGCCATCTGGGACTCCCCCCACAAACCCAAGTGCTCAGGACATGCACAAACACACCCCTCCCTCCAGTACCCAAGCATCCAGGACACCACCCCATCCCACCCCCAAGAACCCAGGTGTCCAGGACAGACACACAGACACGCTCACACAGAGATCCCGGGCATCTGAGAGACCGCCCTCCCCTTTTCCCCCCAGAACTCAGTTGTCTAGACAGACAGACACAAGCCAGGTGACCCCCCTGAACAGCAGGTTGCTACATAATTTTTCTGATATATGAAGGGAGCTCCCCAGTGAGAGAACCCAGGTATCCTGGCTCCCAATCCCTTGCTCTAATCGCTAGATCTGCTCCCTGCCAGAGCTGGGGATCAGAGGTTCAAGCACCCAGACCCCAGCAGTCTGACTCACCAGACCCCACTCTTCATTCACAGCAGAGGTCAGAAACCAGGTGTGCTGTTTCCAATACAATCCCCTTCTGAGACACACACTCCCCCAACACGCACACATGTGCACATGTACATACAGATACACACTCCCTCTCCCACAATCCCTTTCCATCAAATTTATATTCAACCTCCTAACACATGCACACACTCCTTTTCCAAATACAGCCTGTTCACCCATGCACCTCCCGGAGTAACAAGGAATAACGGCCATAAGTAGTTTGAGAGTAAGTTCAGGCTGGATATTAGAAGGCACTGCTTCACAGTCAGGTCAGCTAGGATCTGGAACCAACTTCCACGGGAAGTGGTGCTGGCTCCTACCTTGGGAGTCTTTAAGAGGAGGCTTGACAATTACCTAGCTGGGGTCATATGAGCCCAGTATTCTCTCCTGCCCAGGGCAGGGGGTCGGACTTGATGATCTACTTAGGTCCCTTCCAACCCTACATCTATGAATCTATGAACCATTTCAACCACCCCAGCAACAAACACACCCCCTCACAACCTCCATGCCTCCAAACCCCCACTACACCCCCCTTCCATAGCACCACACATCACTGCATGCATGGGGGGAAGGACACACGCTGACTGTACTGCATGAACCCCAATTCTCTGGATGCTCCACCCACCACAGCACAGCAGCCTGCCCTCTGGGTGTGACTGCAACTGACATTGGCCCTAGCTAATACCCCAGGTCATCAAAGTCTTGTGGTACTAATGGGTTTGTGTGTATGTGCACACACGCATCCCTGATGCCTAGGTTCCGTGTGTGTGTGGGTCCTGGACACCTGAGTAGCGTGTGTGTGTGAATGATGAATGCGCATGCATGCATTCTGGACACCTGGGTTCTGTGTGCACACATGCATCCTGAATGCCTGAGTCGTGTGTGTGTGTTCAAATGCCTGGGTCGTGTGTGTGCACATCTCAGATACCCGGGTTGAGTGTGTGTGTATACATCTCTCAGATATCTAGGGCACGTGTGTGTGCACATGCATGTGTACATCTCTCAGATGCCTCTGTGCGTGTGTGTGTGTGTGTGTGTGTGTGTGTGTGTGTGTGTACATCTCAGACCTGGGTCATTTGTATGTGTGTGTGTGTATGCACACATGCATCCCAGACACATATCCCCTGTGCATGCGTCTCTCAGATGCCTGGGTCTCATGTGCACCAGTGTGGGTGTGCATCCCAGATGCCTGAGGGGGTGTGTGCATGCATACATGTGTGTGGGGATGTGTGTGTGTGTGTATTGGACACCTGAATCCTGCGTGTGTCCCAGATGGCTGGGTTCTGTGTGTATATTTGGCGGGTGGTGTACAGTGACCTCCCTCCCAATAAAACCCTAACCACCCCCGGTGTTGGATTCCTGCCCCCACATCACACACACAGGTGCTCTTTCTCTAGCACACCCCCCCTCCCCTTTGACCCAAGGGCCCTCTACCTCCACTTATTCCCCACCTAACACCCCCACCACTTATCCCCGACCCCACTGACTCGACCCCTCCCCACTACTTACTCGGACCCCATTTTTTTCCGCCGCCGCCCCCTTTACCTCTTCCCCATTGACTCCAGCCCTGCCCCCCACTTTTATCCCTTCCCATCTCCACCAGCCCCGCCCCGCCTCACCCCACCCCTCCTCCATTCACTCTGGAGGGGGATGCCACGAATGCGCAAAGATTGGGGCGGGGGAAGAATTGCTGGTGCGAGTACCTTTGCAAGAACTGCGCATGTCCAAAGGCGGGGAGGGAGGGAGGAGCAAAGCCTCCTGGGAGTTGTAGTTTTTACACCCTCCCTGACTTGTATGAGGAGAAGGGAGGGATTATCTCAGGCAACCATGTTCCCAGCCCCGAGGAAGTGGAGGAGGGACACAAGCCCCAACACTCTCACACTGTTTTCCCTTCTCTGGCTCCACAGTGGGCCTTCCCCAGCTGTGGGAATCTGATGGAGTCACATCAAGAGGGTGGCCAAAGATGGCCGCCCAGTTCAGCCCTTATGACCATGGGCCTCTGCGTAAAGACCAGTCACATAAATACAACCAATGTGACTGCCCAGCTGGCCAACCCTCAAACAGCCACGGCCTCAGTGGGCATGGCCTAGTCACCGAACACCCACTGCCATGGCCCTCTGTGTAGAGATAGTGGGCGTGACTCAGTCACACAAACACAACGAATATGGTGGCCCAGTGTGGCCAACCCTCACACAGCCATAGTCTCTGTGGGGCTGCCTAGAGACAGTGGGCACCTCCAGGGGTCAAGACATAGTCGATCACTGCCACCCGGATATTGCTATTGTTACTGGGACCCTGCTGATAGTCCATGCAGGCCAGGGGCCTAGGGGCCCCCATCCCCTCATCTGATAGAATGTGGGGGCCTGTTATAAAAGAGCAGCCAAGCTCCTGTTTGCTTCCTTAGCTGCGCCCCTCTCCCTTCTCTTGCAGGTCACCTACCCCAATAAATGCCTCCGCCAGGTCAAATCACTCCGCCCCCCTTGTTACTTGCCACCCAACACCAGCAGCCGCAGCTGTGGCCTCTTGCAAAGATCATGCAAACACGAAATTGAAAGGCTCCCGCCTCCCGGTAAAACCCGAGTCGCGAGACCCGAACTTCCGACCTCAGGGCAAAAGGCAGGTGGGTAGGAGGCGCCGCGTTCAGCGAAAACGACGCGCCGATTGATGAAAACGGCACTCTATTGCTTCTCCCCTCACCGGGTGGAGGAAGAGGAAAGGAATCGATGTCCTCCGCGCTCGATTGGCTCGCCTGACCGGCCCTGTCATGGCGGCGCCCAGGGAGGAGACACGTGGCCTCTTCGGGCAGGGGGTCCGGGCTGTATTGGGCAGCTGGGCTGCGCTTCAGGTGAGGGAGCATTAGGGCCCTGGAGGCATCTATAGGTGCATGGTTTCCTATAGCTATCCCCGCTAGCGCCTATAGACGTCCCCGCTGATGCATTTGAGGAGCGGGAGCTCCTATATAACTCGCGCGGCCCTTAGAGAAACCCCCACTCACACATTAGCGCGGGCGTGGGACCGAATCCCCTGCCTGGCACCGGGGAAAACGTAGGGGTAATAGATGCCCTGACAGAACCATTCCTGGCACATATGGAAGTATAAAAGGGTACCAGAGTCCCCTGGTTCTGCTGGCATATGTCGCTATCCCCACAGAAGCACTAGGGGAGTTGCTGGATCCTTTATAGATCCATCAACACGTATAGAAATCTGTGGAAGTGGGGGGCAGGTGCTCCTATAGAACCCCTCACCACTGTACCCATAACAATGGCTACAGTAGTATAGGGGGAGTCAGGGTCCCCTATAGAAGTCCCTGTAGAAACACTAGGGGGGGTGCTGGATCTCCTAGTACATATAGAAAATGTCCCTGTGGAAAGACAGAAATAGCAGCTGCCTCTTTAGAGATCTTAGCATTTATAGAAGTCTCCATGGAAATGCTTGGGTAGCAGGTGCCCCCATGGAAATCCTGGTGCATATAGAAGTCTCCATGAAACACTGGGGTAGGAGGTACATGTATAGAACCCTTGCACCTATAGGAGCCTCCATGGAAATGCAGTAGTTGGTGCTCTTATAGACCCGAACACCTGTAGAAGTCCCCTGGCTTATACAATTTATGCAATTCCCCATAGAAATGTAGGGGGTGTCAGGCTACTCTCTAGAGCCCCCCTCAGCATATATAGGCATCCCCAGATAAATATCAAGGGCCATATAGGTTTCTAGCATAAACATTATATAGATTCCCTATAGAAACACGCAAAGGGGAGGGAAGATGGATATCCCTTGTACAAGACCTTGCGTCTACAGCAGTGCTTAGGGGCAGGAGAGATCTATGAGACCTCCACCTCCTATAGAAAAGATCCCCACCCCCTTTCTCAATACCAAAGGGATGGGGAAGGGAAGGAGAAAGATTTGGGGGACCCCTCAGCCCCCCTGATCCTGAGGGGCCCCCACATGTCACCCTAGATTGCAGTGGAGAATGGCTTTGGGGGTACCCATGGGCCCGAGAAGGCAGCATGGCTGGGGGGTGCCGTGGAGGAGTATTTCCACAACAACGGTACGTAGGGGCAGGAAGAATTGGCGGGGGAGGGGGGGGCAGCAATGTGCAGCACCTCCTGATGCTGGCTGGGGGCGGTCTGTACAGTGCCCAGCACCTCCTTGATCCTGGTCTTGACTGGATCTGGGCTGCCTGGACACCTGGGTTCCATCCCTCACTCTGCCCTTCCCCCAGCTGACCTGGAGCAGGATGAGATCGAGGACTTCCTGGCCAAGGTGCTGGACCGTGAGTTTGACACTGTTGTTGAAGACGGCAGTTTGGCTCAGGTGAGCCCTGCCCCAGGGCTTGCTGGGAAGGAGCTCCGGGGGGGAGGCACAATCCCATGATGCCCTAGGGTAGGGAAGGAAAGCCCCTCCACATTAAACATCCTCCTGCCCCCATCCAGCCCCATCCAGCCAGGGTATTCTGAGGCTAGCTGGGGGTAGTCTCTGTGCCCCAGGGTGTCATGGGATAGCCTGAGGCAGGGGGAAACAGTCTTTTGCCCTAGGGCAGTGTTTCCCAACCTTTTTTTTACTGTGGCTCCACTGGAGTGGGATGGGGCACACAGACCTGGCTGCCCCTCTCCCAGGGCTACCCTGCCACCTGGCTTTAACCCTGGAAGCTGAGCTGTGACCCTGGAAGCTGCTTGCCCAGGCAGACAGACAGGGCTCTGAGTGGGGGGCTTGTGCCATGACCCAGCAGCCAACCCACCAGTGCCAGGTGGTTGGGAACCTCTGCCCTAGGGCATTCTGGGATGTCTGTGGGGGTGCATTCTCTGCCCCAAGGCATGCTGGGATAGCTCTATCCCAAGGCATTCTAGGATGGCTGGGGGGTAGGGGTGTTCCTATGCCCCAGGGCTTTCTGGGTATAGCTGGGAAGATTCTCTGCCTCAAGTCATCCTGGGATAGAGGAGACGGTATTGTCTATCCCAGGACATATTGAGATGGCTGTGGGGGAGTGTTGTCTACCCCAAGGCATGCTGGGATGGTGTGAGGGGCGCCCTCTGCCCCAGGGCATGCTGGGATGTTTATCAACCCTAGCGTATGTTAGGAGGGCTATGAGGGGGAGTGTTATCTACTGCAAGGCACTCTGGGATGGCTTGGCTGGGGGTGTTATTTATTTCAGGGCATGCTGGGATGGTTATAGGTTCTCTGCCCCAGGACACTCATTCTGCCCCACGATGGCTGGGGGAGGGTGTGCTTTTTGTCCTCAGGCATGCTGGGATAACTGGGAGGCAGTGTTGCCTACCCCAGGGCATGCTGGCATGATTCCGGGGGTGCTCTGCCCTAAAGCATTCTGGGATGCCTGGGGGGCAGCATTCTATCCCTTCACAACCCATCACTGCCCCTTCTGCCCTCCCCAGGTGAGCCAGCAGCTACAGTGGCTGTTTGGGCAGTGCCAGAGTGGGGAGACGGGGTCCGCCCACAATGCCATTGCTCGCCTGGCCCAGGCTGCTCCCCAGGCCTGTGTGCTTGCAGCCCAGGCCCAGCCCGAATCTCAGAGCAGTGAGGAGGAGGAGGAGGAAGAAATGCCGGAGGTATGGACGTCTAGGTGGATAGGGAAGGGGGCATGAGCCTGGGAAGGGTCTGTGTTAACCTCCCTTCTTCCTCCCTTACCACCCCCAGGCCATGGAGTGCAGCAGGGCTGAGCCACCCCCCAGCCCTCCACCCACCCCTGAGGATGGCTGGACCCTAGTCCAGAAGAAGAAGAAGTGAGTGAGGAAAGCAGAGGAGGTGTTTCCTGCTCCCCCCCACCCCCACACACCTCTGGACATCATGGACTGTATGCTGGCAGGTGGTAGATGGACTGTTTGTGGACTAGGAAGAAGCTGGTGGCCTCCAGCTAACCCCCTCCCTGCCCTCAGCAGATGGATGCCTCTGCACTCACCTGGCACCAAGATGCAGCCAGCTCTGGGGTGGAACAACTGAGTATAACATCATAAAGGAGGGCTGAGATGCCTGCAGCTCTCAGCTGAGTATAACACGACAAGGGAGGACAGAGATGTGGATAGCTCTGGTGTGGAATTGCTGAATGTAACAAAGGAAGCAGGGGAGATGCAGCCAGTTCTGGGGTAGAATGGCTGAGTATAATGCCAGGAAGAGGACTGACATGCAGCCAGTTTTGGGGTGGAATGACTGCGTATAAGACAAGGGGAATGGTGGGGGGGAGGGAGATGTGGCTGACTCTGGGTTGGAATGGCTGTATGTAACACCACCAGAGAGGGCAGAGATATGACTGGCTCAGGTGGATAAGCTGGTGAATGGCTAAGTATAACAGCATCCCCCCCCCCACCTGTACAAAGTCCCCTTCCTTCCCTATGGAAAAATCCACCTCTGTGTATTATTATGAATAAATAATTACAGTGATTTGTTAATCATGAAAAATCCCCAGATGTGGATCACAAGTAGGGGAGGGAGCCTGGGGGAGGGTCCCATTTTCCCCCATGGCTAGCCACGAGGTGATAGGGGAGGGGTACAGCCTCCTGAGACTGGATCCCTTTGGAATCTCTCCCATTCGAAATGTTCAGACAGGCGACCTATGCAAAGCAATTATTACACAATTAGCTGGTCAGTTACGCAATAAATTGAGACAGGCCACATGTGCAAAGTATAATTATCAACCCACAAAAATGTTCATCCATGTATAAAAAGAGCCTACTAGTTACAAAATCAGTGCTTGGAAATGTGTGATAACTCTATAGCTGATTTCTATCCAGCTTTAATTTGAACCTGGATTGCAAGAGGTGGGGATGCTTTGAATTCAAAGCATTTCCATGTTGCCAGGCTCCATAATCAGGGATTAGTTGCAGCAAGAGGATGCCAGCCCAGAAGAAAGCATAGAATACTTCAGGAGATACAGAAAACCCTGTCAGCCTTTGTAAAACTTACATGAATGGCAAAGCTTGCAAGAAGTTGGGGATGCTTTGAAGCTGTATCATTTCCATGTTGCATCAGGGATTGGGATGCAACCCCAGGGGGAAGCATAAAATACTTAACGGGATATAGAGAACCCCAGCAGACGTCTTTCCAACATACATATTAATTGCAAAGTTTATAAGGAGGGGGGAATACTTCGAAGTTATAACATTTCCATGTTACCAGGCTCCATAATCAGGGATAGATTGCAATGGGATGTCTGCCCTAGAAAAAGCGTAAAATGCTTCAGGGGATATAGAAAGCCCCAGCAGACCTTTTGGAAAAAAAATATCAGTTGCAAAGCTTGCAAGAGGGGGGCATGCTTTGTAGGGCCCTACCACCCATGCAGAGTAAAGCTGGATAGAAACCAGCTATAGAGTCAATACACATTTTGAAACACTAACTTTGTATCAGGTTGGCACTTGTAGCTGGAGGGCTATTTTTATGACTTGATCGTTTTACTTTGGAGGTGTGGCTGCTTTAAACATATTGCTGGATTGATCAGTTAATAGCGTGATCATTTGAACTTATGGGGGTCTACATTTATTGAGCTCCAAAGAAAACTTGGAAGTCTCCCAAAGCAGGGATCAGCGGCAAAAGTGAATGCCAGCCTGGGAAGAGGAGAGAGCCATGCTGAAGAGGCTCTGTGTGGCCCAGGCAGCCCCTTGGCAAAGTTGGCACGGACAGCTCGAAGGCAGGGAAAATGCTCCAGAGATGTTAGGCTTCCAGGTTGTGAAGCTTCAAAGCTGGCATCAATTGCAACTTGCCCAAGTGCATGGGCACTTTACAGTCTGGGCTTTCGAGTCCCTTATTATCTATTATCCCTTCACCCTGAAGCCCCCATTCA